GAGGAAATTCTTCGTCGTGCTTTACCCGGTTGACCCACTGTCTTCCAGTGACAAATTTTTATTTGTTTTTGCAAACCGTGTCATCACTCCGGTTTGCCTCTCACTTTCCAAAATTCTCCGGTAACCACCAGATTGTTGTCGCCATCCGCCGCTACTAATTTTGGCGACCTTCAGGCAAACTAATCCTACCGGCAAAAGCGTCTCCTTCAATCCGGCCAATCCTGACGATTTCTCCACCGCCGCACTCGCCATGCAATTTTTCCAAATCCGATACTCATGGCTACTCCTCAAAACTTTACGTCAAACTACGATGATTTCCTCAAGTGGTATTAGAATTATCAGAACTCAGATTCTACTATTTCAGTTGTGCACACTGGTAATTCATTTGTTTGGTCCTCTCAATCATCTTCTCTTGGACCTTGAGTCCTTGATTCTGGTGTGTTTGATCATGTTACTAGTAATAAAAATCTTTTTCTTCCCTCTCTACCTCTGGTTTCTTACCTACTATAACTTCTGCCAATGGTTCTCAAACTCGATCCAAAGGAATTGGTACTGCTCAAATTCTACCTTCTCTCTTTGTTACTTATGTACTCTATGTACCTAATCGTCCATTTAATTTACTTTCAGTCAGTCGTTTAACTCGTTTTCTTGATTGTATTGTCCCTTTCACTAATAGTAATGTCACTTTGCAGGATCGGAGTTTGGGACAGACAATTGGCGTCAGATGTGAGTCTCAAGGCCTTTATTACCTCTCAGGGTCATCTCAGACATGCTCAGCCAAAGATTTTCCACTCACAATCCATGCTCAGTTAGGTCATCCTAGTCTTTCCAAATTACAGAAGTTGGTGTCAAATTTATCGAAAGTATCTAATTTACATTATGAGTCGTGTCAGTTAGGGAAACACACTCGTAGTCAATTTCCCAATTGAGTCAATAAATGAGTTTCATCCCATTTTGCTTTAGTTTACTCTGATGTTTGGGGTCCCTCGTGTACTATCTATATTCTTGAGTCTGGGTATTTTGACACCTTTATTGATGATTTTTCACGTTGTACGTGGTTATTTTTAATAAAAAATAGATCAGAATTATTTTCTATTTTTTAAAAAATTTATAAAGAAATAAAAACTCAGTTTGGTGTGTCTATTCGTACCTTAAGAAGTGATAATGATCGTGAATATTCATCCCAACAATTTTAAACTTTTATGTCCAATAATGATATTCTCCACCAAACATTTTCCCTTATACACCTCAACAAAATGGAGTAGCCGAACGCAAAAATCGGCATCTTGTAGAAACCACTCGGACCCTACTTCTCCATGGTAATGTTCCACTTTGGTTTTGGGGAGATGATGTACTAATGTCATGTTACCTTATAAATCGTGTGCCATCATTCGTCCTTAACAATAAAATTCCTCATTCAATCCTTTTTCCTCATTCCTCCATTCACCCAATTCCTCCCTGAGTCTTCGGTTCTACATGTTTTGTACACAATCTCTCTCTTGGTCTTGATAAACTATTAGCTCGATCACTAAAGTGTGTTTTTCTTGGTTATCATCGATCCCAAAAAGGTTATTGTTGCTATTCACATACCCTACAACGATACCTCATGTCGGCCGATGTCACCTTATTCGAGTTTGTTCCATCTTTCGAGTCTAGTCAAGTAACTCTGAAACCCCTTTAGGAGAGTACTCCCACACCTCTTTTGGAAGTCCCGTATGTCATTATCCCCCATCATTATAGGGAACCGGGTCCACTAGATAACTTTATGGTTGACCCCTCAACTTCTTGTCCACTTCAAACATATCAGCGTCGTCAACCAACGTCTGTCGTACCTTTCCGTGAGGTCGTACATGTCCCTGAGGTCATTGCAAACTTTCCTTTGACGCTATCGCCATCACTGGATCCGATCCTACAACCTGATTCTGATCTTCGATTGTCCTTAGAAAAGATATACGTCAAACACGAAATCCTTCTCCACATTATATTGATTTATGTTATCATCATCTTTCCCCTTTGTAGTATACTTGTTTGTCTTCTTTGTCTTCTGTTTATTCCTAACACTCCAAGTGAAGCATTATCTCACCCTGAGTAGAGACAAGCAATGATTGATGAAATGTGTGCTCTTCAAAGCAGTGGTACATGGAAACTGGTTCCTCTATCCCCTAGGATATATTTAGTAGGTTGTCGTTAGCTTTATACAGTGAAAGTTGGTCTAGATGGTAAGATTGATTGATTTAAAGCTCGTTTGGTAGCCAAATGATACACTCAGATTTTTGAGTTGGATTATAGTGATACATTCTCTCTTGTAGCCAAGATGGCATATGTTAGACTTCTTCTAGCCATTGGAGCCATTTGACATTGGCCTCTTCATCAACTTGACATCAAAAATGCATTTTTATATGGTGATCTTGAAGAGAAAGTATATATGGAGCAACCACCTGGGTTTGTTGCTCAGGGGGAGTCATCAAATATGGTTTGTAGGCTACACAGATCTCTTTAAGGTCATAAATAATCTTTGAGAGCTTGGTTTGGCAGATTCAACATTGTAGTACAACAATTTGGTATGGTTCGTAGTGAAGCTGACCATTTAGTCTTTTATCGTCACTAAGTCCAAGGGTGTATTTATCTTATTGTGTATGTAGATGATATTGTCATAACTGGTAGTGATGAGCAGGGAATACTCCAGTTGAAACAACATCTTTCGAATCAATTTCAGACAAAAGATCTTAGTAAACTCTGGTATTTCTTGGGTATTGAGGTAGCCCAATCTAGAGATGGTTTAGTGATTTCTTACGGAAATATGCTATGGATATTTTAGAAGAAACATGTTTGTTGAACACTAAACCAGCTGATACTCATATGGATCTAAGTGTCAAACTACTATCCAATTAGGGGAAGCCTCTATCAGACTCAGGAAGGTATAGGAGATTGGTTGGAAAGTTGAATTATCTCAGTCACTCGTCCAAACATTTCTTTTGCAATCAGTGTGGTAAGTCAGTTCTTAAATTCCCCTTGTCAGGAACACATGGATGCAGTTATTCGAATTCTGAGATACATCAAATGAGCTCCAGGAAAAGATTTATTGTATGAAGATAAAGGACATACTCAGATAATTGGATACTCTGATGTTGATTGGACAGAGTCAGCAATTTATAGACGATCCACCTTTGGGTATTGTGTACTTGTTGGAGGAAGAAAAAAAATGTAGTTGCAAGATCAAGCGTCGAGGCAGAGTATGGCAATGGCAATATGTGAACTCCTTTGGTTAAAACAGTTGCTCAAAGAAGTTCAAATTGAAGAAGCAAGACCAGTGACACTTGTATGTGATAATCAAGATGCATTGCACATTGCGTCAAATTCAGTCTTCCATGAGAGGACCAAACATATTGAGATAGACTATCACAAGTTTTGTCAACTCTAATGATTAATTGGCAAATGTGTTATAAAATCTCTGCGAAGTCCTAGAACTAATTATATATGTGGCAAGCTTGGTGTAATTGACTTATATGCTCCAGCTTGAGGGAGAGTGTTGATATTTGTAAATATAGTGTTAAGAATATATGTAAAATAGTCTCACATCGATTATATCATGTAATTAGTTGTAATCTCTATATATAATAAAGTCTCTGTAGTACCTTCAAAACACACAGTTTAACTTAAATGTCTCTTAGTCTCTCCTAATTCAACATAGATAAACATCATGAAAAGGAATGTAATTTAATTTAGAGTTGTCAATGTAGTTTCAATGAAAGGAATTTGATTTCATTTAGAGTTGTTTATGTGCCATTAATGAGAAGGGATTTAATTTTAGTTAGAGTTGTTTTATGTACCTTTAATAAGAAAAAACTAGATTTAAATTTTGACTTTGGACAGATGCGGCTACACTTTTGGATTCTACAATGGAAAATTGTTGTGTTTCAGTTCTACCATTGTCAGTTCAAGAATTTAGTGATGGACTGTATATGGTGAATTTGAATGAAATGTCTTTTAACTCCATAGTTAGGAATAAGCACAATAAGATTGACCAAAGTTCTTATATTCGATGCCATAGACGCCAGGGGTACATCTCTACCCTGGATTAAAATATTCATTTGGGAAGGTATTCTACTATTCTTCATGACCTAGAGTTCTTTAGTTCCAACACTGATGTGGTTGTGTTATAGGCAGGTCCATTGTCAAAATTAGGAATGAAGGAGCAAACAGGTACCCTGATGTGTTGCAGTTAATTCATTCAGACATGTGTGGACCTATTGCGCCAGCTACCATGGGTGGATAAAGGAATTTTATTACATTCATATATGAACACATCAGATTTTATTGCATAAATCTTCTCCAAGAAATCCAGGACAAATTTTCAGATTTATTGAAGCTTTGATCCAAATGGAAGGATTTATTCAATAATCTATTAGACCTAAATCAATTATAGATATAATATAACATACTTTTAATAACAAATTTCATAATAGAGAAAAATGTTAAGTGTGTACCTGTGGAATCTGTTGTATTGTGACAATTCGCAATCTTCAATATCCAAGTAAAATATACATTTTCAGAACGAGGTCTTGAGTACTGAATAAACTATAGTGTGGCTTACCTATTTAAAGTTAATTACAACAGAAAAGGATGCTCAAGGCTCACTGGTCAGTGACAGCATGCAGCCATGCACCATTCCCCCATTAAGCTCCTCCTTTTTCCCTTTTTACTTGGGTTTCTCTTTTTAATCCAGTACAATCTTGCTGCATTCCTTTACCATGTTACGGAGATTTTGCACTCGTACTGCAAAATGAGAAACCAACATATAATGATACATTACAATTCTTCCTCCTATTGAATATCTGCTGTAAAAACATATCTTCAGTTTTCACACATATAAATCAGTCATAAGCTGAATCAGGGTGTTTTCAACTTGAATGACAGTGATACTCACACAAAACTGAGGCAAACTAAAACATAACTTCATAGTCGTGCCAAGTCCTTGACTCGAGCACATTTCCAGCATTTTAACACCTCCACCAAGGCAAACCAGCTCTGTATAAGTGTTCATCATCATCCCATGAAATTTGACAAGCTTGAAGGCCAATTGCAGCACTTGGCTCTTTTCCATGCTGTGCAATCCAATTTGTAACATCCGTTTCTTTTTCACTCTCACTGGTAAAATCTTTCTTGTACTTTCCAAATGGATTAAGTCCAAGATTAATCATCTCTGCAATTGCAGCTGGCATATACATAGAATCACCAATTAAAGGTGCCTTACAAGCAGCAAATTGAGCTCGAATCTGCATTGAAAAAATTAAGTCATTTTTATCAAAAAATCATATTTTTGTTTTCCTAGAAGATAATCAAATAAAAGAAATAAGGAAGGAAATTTTCTGTATTCATTCATTATAAATTTAAAATTTGAAACATTCAATTGGTTGATGCCATAGAGATATAAACTTCCAGAAAACAAATGGAGGGCGTAATAACTAAAATTCGCAACTCTCCTTGATAGCTAACACAATTATAGCCTAATATTAGATCCAACAATTGCTAAAACAATAGAGTTCGTCTGTACAACAGTGATTTGTAGCAGCTGAATAATTTCTTCACTACCAAAGGCAGCTTGGTCAGCAGGCTATGGCTCATGAAGGTATGTTTCACTATTTTTCAAAATGATCATTCATACTTATTGTAATGTAATAAGAATCAACAAAAGAAAAAATACAAATAAATACATAAAGACAGCTAACAGACCTGATGAGTTCGACCAGTAAGAAGGTTGATTTTACACTCGTATGCATAATCTTGAGATGGCCACCCACAGTCTTCAACACAATATTCATCTTGAACAACACTAGTTGGCCAAGGAACCTTTCTGCATTCCATGACCTCGAGTTGACAAAGAAGCCATCCCTTGATAAAATCTGCACTCAATAAATATCTGGGGTTTAATTCACAATATAAAACCCTTATCTGGAAAACCTTTACCTATTCAAATTCTACTGAATCAAAGAAGATAAAATTATATAAGTTGTGTTGGAATTTCCGCCTTCATTGCGGCCCACCCCTAGTCGCCTAAATTGCAGCATTTGGTTTGTCTTCATTGCAGCCTCCAACACCTTCATTGTGTTGGGTTTGAGGGGGTAGGATTTATGCCCACATTGCCTAGAGCTATGGCATATGTTGTGTTTATAAGTGGGAGCAATCATCACCTTACAAGCCGGTCTTGTAGGAATGAGTTAGGCCCAACTCACACATTTTAAGAAGTTGATTAGGTAACTAATTTCCAACTTGGCTAATGCACCTAACTGAATCATATGGCAAAAAAAAATTATGATATTACAACTTGCTTAGTGTAGTATAAAGCTAATATATTATTCCCAAGCACATCACTTAGTCTTCTATTGTCAACTCTTTCCTTTTACTCTTTTCAGGGAGTGGAATATCAAATATATCAGGCAAAGGAAAAACTAATGTCACAATTCATGTTTCTCAGTCACTAATATCATAAGACATGGCATGCAGTTAGCTTCTCCCATTGGAGTTTCTAATTATACATAATCAATGAAAACACACATATTTACTACTTGACTATTTCATTTCAAGTTTCTTAAACAATCTTTGCAGAGAACTCAAATTTGTGTAGTTACCTTCAGAAATAAGTCGAGGTGCCATGTTAATAGGACGCATATAGTGGTTAATGATTCCAATTGGTAAAGGAGAAGCTGCAAGAGCAAGATAGAGCTTTTTCACTTTTTTCTCCTGAAAATAAAAAATTAGTGATCAATAATTTGCACTACACTTGGAGTGAAATGAATTCTTTCAAAGATCAAACAGCTCATGCTTTGTGTGAGTGTGTTTTTACAATTATAACTGTAGAAGATTGTACGAGTAAAATATAATGTTAGGATACTACAAGAGCATAAGTCAAAAGAGGAGGATGTGTTGGGGAAAGTGGGATATGAGAGAGACCTATAGTGTGGAGAGTTTGGGAGAGAAAGAAAAAGAAAGGAATGGAGGGAAATAACTGATAGAAATTTGCAGTAAGCAGTTATGTTTTTATTTTTAGTATGCAGTTGTGTTAAGGCGATTATGCATTCGGTTTTATTTTAAGTATGCAGTTTGTGTTAGGGAGTTATGTCATATGTTGTATTTTGAAAATAACCACTTGGTTAGCAAACGGAGTTGGGAGATGTCCTGACCTCTTTGAGGAGCATATGCTATGGATTGTTATATTCTGTCTTATAATTTATCAAGGGCCCAATACTAAATCAAATTTGGTCTTTGATTATGTTCTATGTTCTATCATATAAACTATGAAATGACATCAGCATTACCCGTATTTTGCCATGAAAGACAGAGCAATACTCTTTATTCCTAGCCAATACTACACTGCACGTAAAAAAAAAGTACTAGTGTTACATTCTCTATCATCTCCAGAATGACAAGAACGCTAATTTATTTAAGCATAAGGGCATTACCAGCCTTCCGTGCAGTTGTCAATCTGATGGGTAGTCATCAACGGTGTTGTCAATCCCAAGGCACGAGTTGCAAAGGTTGCACAACTTTCTTCAATGTTGTCGGTAGTGCCACCTACCTAGCAAAAATTAGAAAAGAATAAATTGCACAGAACTTTAGGCACTCGACTAATTAATAATGTAGACATATCAAGAAATTTGAAGAGAAGTCTTTAAGAAAATTAAATTCTTGACACTCCAAATTATATATCTCACTCAAAACTAGTAAGCATACTTCATAGACAATGCTCAAAATTTATCTCCACCTACTGAGCATTAAGCCCAAAAACAATAATTCTTTAGATTGATTACTATATCTTTTTACTCAATGTGTTTTCCAATGCCAGTATTGCTTGATAAGGACTCCAGTTAATAAATCTCAAAGACTATCAAAAGATGGAGGAATCGGGAGATTAGCCTATTAGGCATCAGAAAACATATTATAAATCTCACATTTTGTGCATATACAAATAATAATGTAATGTTAGACACGAGCCACGGCAACAACCTTTCAAAACATTGATGAAGACTACAAGCGATTTTATTTCAATTAGGAGTATTTTAGTAAGTTTTGAAATATTGTACTCCCTCCGTCCTCAACAACAAAACTCCTTTGAAACATTTGTCTGTCCCTAAATATAAGTCTCTACAAATTTCTAAATACATTTAATATTACCTATTTGTCTTGAAATATGAAAAGTCAACACTGAATACACAAAGGCTAATTTAGTAATAGTCTTACAAAATGTACACATTATTTAGAATACCAACTTTTCTTAATATAGGTACAAAAGTAAGGGTAATATGAAAAAGTAAGGGCTATATGAATAGAGACACACGGAGTATATACTTTATGAAAGACCACACATTGGGTCTATGACCTAACAATTAGGTTGTTTAAACGTTTTAGAATTTTATTTTATTTTAAAGCTCATGTGTTCCTAACCAAGTTAGATAGCTTATATCCTAATTGAACTTAATTCCTTATTCTTTTTATAAAATTAGTGAATTTATTTAAAACAGTGGCAGTATTTCATTCTTTTTTCTTTTGGATTTAGCCAACCCGTTCCGATCCACATAGTGAACCGACTAATCTGGTTTCGTGGTTCAGAGGGATGACTTGCTGGCCAAGCCTTGTTTCCACCAAGAATCGAACTCGGGTAGTACCCGAACGATTTGTCCTTAGCGGAAGCTCATTTCCCACTAGAGCCCAAGTACTTAGTTTATGGCAGTGTTTCATTCAGTTTAGAGAGTTTTTCAAAGAATTCCTCTACTCGGTTAGGTGATAATTACGGAAGCCTGGGTGTACAACTTTGATTTATTTTCTTCTCATGTTTCATGCTATTTCCTAAAATATATTACAGTAGACCAACTTAGTCTGACTTGACAAGAAGCACTAAACATCATTTTCTTCAAAATTTCATTCCTACTGGCTTGAATTTCTGCTAGAACCCATCATTATAATAACCAATAAGCTGAATTCAGATAACAATTAATTACTCGTGTGATGTAGAACATGTCCATTGGATATGAAAATTACAGGACTTGGAACTGCTGTCTACTATCTAAAATTTAATAACAATTCTATAAGAATCCTATACAAAATTAATATCTATTTCTGAGTACACAGTGTAGGATTGATTACATACCGAAGTACCAGCAGGTTTATCCAAAACTACATAAGATTCCTTCACAGCTATAATCCTTGATCTCCAGTCAATCTCATAGCACCTAAAAAGAGTTTCCAAATGTCAAACATTATCATAATCATAATTCCTCCCATACCTCCGTAATAAAAACAAAAATGCAAATCCAAGCAACATTTTAATGTACCTATGAAAACGTTTGGGGTGCACGTGAACTCGCAAATAAGTTCCCGGTTCAACAAACTGATCTCCATCAGTTACACGAAAAGTTTTCTGTGCTTCTCTTATAGTTTTTCCTTTGATAGAACCTCTTTTCCGCAAAACCAACGGATCCGTTACTTGTTTGAAAACCCTAATTTGCTCGGCAGTAGCAGTAGGAGGAGGCTTCGGACAAACAAGCGCGAAATGCACAGCTCCGAAATGAATCAGGTCTGCAACATACCTTGAAAAAATAAAACTTAGGGTTTAATTTAATCCTATTTTCATGAAGTTAACAAATGAGCTTGGCAGAATGATTTTCCACTTACAAATGAGGAAGATCCAAAGCTTTGCAAATGTATTCTAATACATTTCCTCCTTCTGAAACAACTAAGTGTTCAATTCTTGGTGGAGATTTGTGTTTTGGACATGGAAGCAATCGATCGTACTTAGGGTAGCTTGAAGAAAAATGAAGTATCAGTATAAGAAATATGTGTAATCGGTGAAAAGATAGTGATAGGGAAGGTACCTATTGGAAGAACAAGTATCGGTTAAGTTTCCGACGTCGGCGGTTGAGGATTCAGTTTCACCGGCGAGTGAGACGGTACTGTTGTGTGAACTCCGACAGCACCAACTAGAGGCGTGTAATGTGAGGTGTTTGTTAAGTGAAATGCGAAGTGCGCGTGCCGCTAAAGGAACGGCGAGGCTGCGGCAGCCGCCGGCGAACAACATTGACGCAACTGATACCGAACTCATCTTCTCGAACTACTCCTTCAGTTATCGGGTAGAGGTGGGTTCTGAATTTTTGAAAATTGTAGGCCTAGTACTGGGCTCCAATCTTGAATCTGTTTATGGAGAAATTAACTTGCCATTGCCACCCATAATATTATACATATGCCACTCCCAAATTTATTATTTCTAAAATATCTCTTTTATTATTTATTCTAAATTTTTTATTTTTGTCAAAAGAAATTACTATTGATCAAAGAAGTGAAAAAATGAGATTTCCGGTACGTTGAGCAATTTTCAGTGTCGATTTTGGTCGCTTATCAGAAATTCTTTACATTCTACGAATGTCTGTTTGCGATTAATTGAAAATTTCAAAATTTTCGATTGCGATTCACCAGAAATTTTAAAATTTTCCTGTCAAATTTCAAAAGCCAACACACGTACAAGAAATTACGCAAATTTCCAATAGAAAACATTTACCGGAAATTTCAGTTATACTTGAAATTTCTGATAGCAGATGAAATTTTATATCTTTGCGGTCTTGAACCGGCAGCTTCAAATTCTTCTGCAGATTCATATATTGATCTTACGCAATTTTTCATCACACATACAATATGGTTCTTATTTAACTTACACGTTTTTATTTGTTTTTTTTTAAATTGATGAAGTTTACTAATTATATGTTGTTGTAATTGTCAGATTTTCGAATCACGAGCTAAAGTTCTAAAATGGGCACAGTCTATTGGTAAAAATTATGGTATTGTTGTTGTTACAATTCAGTTTGATTATGCTAATGGACTGCGGGGAGGAAGAATAAATTGATTATGGATTGTGACAGAGGAGGAAATTACAAAAAGAAATATAAATTTGGGAACCCTTCTGATGGCAACTATACTAAGAAGGTTAGATGCCCATTTAGGCTGAGATCTGTTCCAAGTGATATCGGTTGGAAGGTGGTGGTTAGATGCAGGATGCACAATCATAGACTAGATAAGGATTTGGAATGTCATGACATATTGGGTCGTCTAAAAGATCACGAAAGAAAGTTTGTGAATGACATGACGAAGTACAACATGGCACCAAGATACATCGTATCTGCTTTGAAAGACAAAGACCCAGAAAATCTCACGACTATTACCCAGGTATACCGAGCTAGAGCAACATATAAATTAGGCAAGAGAGGTGCAATGACATAAATGTAAATGTTATTGAACCTTATTCCTCAATAGAAATACATGTGTTGGACTAGAAACAGGTACATTGGACTAACAAAAAATATGTTTATGTTTAGATATTAATTTGAAAGTTGTTTAGATAATATGTTCAGAATTTTTAGGGTGGAGTCTACACAACGGAGACTAAAGAACTTGTTGACTACAAGTCTTGGTGATTTATGTCGAAGTTGGGATGTTGTGAACACAATGTTGAAGTTGCAACTAGGTTCCATCTGAGTGTCATTTCAAAAAAGTATCGTCAATATTGAGCATTGGTATAACACCCCATTTTATTCTAAATTGCACAATTTTGTCTCAAGATAATGTATACAACTCATTGGAAAGAACTAGAAAGAGTAGAATTTGTTGGTGCAAGCAATGAGAGGTGTAGTTGTTACATTAAAACAACACTTGGGTTACTGTGTGCGTGTCAGTTTGTCGGTTTCCAAAATTTAGGCACCCTTATACCTTTGGAAACAATTCATGTATTTCAGACGAAATTGCACATTTCAGAACATGATGTGACTCATGATGAGAGTAAGTGGGATTTAGAAGAAGAGTATGAATATTTGAAGAGATATTTCAGTACTTTGGATATTGTGGGTCAGAGGGTATTGAAGGAAAAAAGTTTGTGATCTAACTTATCCATCCACAACTTTTATGTGTCCACCGCCGGTGAAATACAAGCCAAAGAGGGGAGTTAAGAAAAGTAGAAAGGGTGGGGAGAGTGATGTGCATCATGATCCTAGCCAGTGGGAATATGATACAGCTTCCAATTGGAGATTTGCGGGGGAGTCAGACTACAAAGAGATCATGCATAAAACCAATTGGAAGCCAATCATCAACCATGTCAATTGGTAAGCAACCTTCTACCAAGTCTTCAAGAGCTGAGTTCTTGTCACAATTTCCTGCTTTCTTTCATTCGTACATCAATGACATAATTGATGTTGAGGATGATGTAAACTGCGGTTTCCATTGTATGTTGACTTTATTAGGATAGGGGCTAAATGCATGTTATTCGGTTCGGAAGCAGTTGGATACTCAAGTCCATCAACATGCTAACTTGTTTTCAAGTTGTTATATGACACTGTCTCTGTTGTTATGACTTTGTTACAAGTAAAATACTTGGGAGAGAAGGGTAGGGATAAATGGATGTCGATTTCTAATATGGGTTACCATATTGCTTCTAAATACGAAGTCGTATTTGTTTCCATTTCCATGAGACTTAACATAACATTTTTCCCACTTCTCATAGCTTCACCTTGTACACGAGTTGGTATACAATCATTGTTGTTAATTTTGTTAACAATAATCATTGGGTTCAGCTAAAGTTGAAACTCGACTGTCTACTACCCCTCGTCACTGCTCGTTGGAGGGAGAATTGTTTTACTGATGCAAAAGCATGGGAATCAACATATGCGAGTCATTTCAGACATTGGGAAGAATTGTCTAGGAAGTGATTATAGTTTTTTAATGTATATATGTATGACATTTATTCTATTTATATAATAAGACGGTTCGCTATTTCACTATGTATTTTATTCAAGTAAAAGTTTTTAAAAAAATCTAGTATTATCGGAAATTTTAAATTTCTTGTAATTTCCACACATCGAAAATTTTAAATATCTGGTTTTGTATAAGGATTAAATATATCGGAAATTTGAAATATCCGGTACCGGAATTTTCAAATTTCCGATTAAGTTTATATGACACGGTAAAAAATTGGAAATTCAACGAAATTTTTGGTAGTTTTATGAAATTTCCAGTACAACACCGGAAATTTCAAAAAATCTGATATATTTCATAAATAATTTCGTAAATACGCCAAGACTGGAGGGTGTCATATATAATATGAAGGGTGACATATTAATTTCTCCTATTTCTGATTAAATTACCTTTGTAGGATCAATCTCTCTACACCCCCCCATTTGTAACTCCCACCCTTCAAAAATGTTTTAATTCAATACTAACCTCTTAATTTATCATTGAAAAAATCACTGAGTAGATTAAAAAAAGTCCTTTACTATCTTCAAATAAATTATGCATAATGATAATATTAAAATTTGGAGAATAATTTGAAAAGAAAAATAACTTAACACTTTTTTTACTAAGTAGTAATAATTACTAAAACTCACACACAACTGGGAGGATGAGATGTTTCATTTAAGGATCAAAATTATTGATGCAGATTCTTATTGCAGTGGCACAAGCTACTTTAGTGCAGTTACGTCAAATGAACCAGTAAAGTTAACACTTTAATGCTCAAGTAATTTCGTAAATAAAGGGTTAGACTGAGTTGTGGATAGAATCATACATTTTTGTTTTTCACATTGTGATTTAATACAATGAGCGATCAGTTGGCCAATGCAGCGTCAGACCTACGGTCGGCCTAGAACAATTTCTCCCAAGGCTTGTCATGTTTAATATATGAGAATTCTTTCAAAGAACTGGTTCAAGTAGCTTTAGTCGAGATTTGGTATTAAAAAGTGAAAGAGACTTAGGGACGACTGCATTAAATGATAGTCAAATCATTGAGATATTTCCTAGGTTTTCTTCATATGTGTATCTAGGTTCAAAGATTAGGGTGTGGTGTTTCCCCCTAAGGTGCTCGACTGCACTAAAGTATCGTTACATTTTTAGGTATAATTTTGACCGTTGATTTTTCATCTTCTATTTTCTTTCATTTTGCACTGTTGATTCACTTCATCTAGCTCCATTATATAAAGATTGTATCCGCCTTTCAGATAATTTTCGTTCTCTCTCATAATTAACCCTTACATTTCTTTTCAAACTCTTTATTCTTCTCCTAAGCTCTAGTGATTTGCAATTTTTCCATATTTATATATTATTTTGGTCCATCATCCCTAGTTTATCCCCATGGTTTGTCATTTGCTTCACTTCTTACTCAAGTACCATTTATATTCATTTTCCTTACATTTTATGTTTCCCTTTCTCGTATTCTCTATGCAAAATGTAGAAAATATTCGTGAGAACATAATGAATGGCACTTTTTTTTACTAAGTAGTAATAATTACTAAAACTCACACACAACTGGGAGGATGAGATGTTTCATTTAAAGATCAAAATTATTGATGCAGATTCTTATTGCGGTGGCACAAGCTACTTTAGTGCAGTTATGTCGAATGAACCAGTAAAGTTAACACTTTAATGCTCAAGTAATTTCGTAAATAAAGGGTTAGACTGAGTTGTGGATAGAATCATACATTTTTGTTTTTCACATTGTGATTTAATACAATGAGCGATCAGTTTGCCTATGCAGCGTCAGACCTACGGTCGGCCTAGAACAATTTCTCCCAAGGCTTGTCATGTTTAATATACGAGAAGTCTTTCAAAGAACTGGTTCAAGTAGCTTTAGTCGAGATTTGGTATTAAAAAGTGAAAGAGACTTAGGGACGGCTGCATTAAATGATAGTCAAACCATTGAGATATTTCCTAGGTTTTCTTCATATGTGGATCTAGGTTCAAAGATTAGGGTGTGGTGTTTCCCCCTAAGGTGCTCGACTGCACTAAAGTACTATTACATTTTTTAGGTATAATTTTGACCGTTGATTTTTCATCTTCTATTTTCTTTCATTTTGCACTGTTGATTCGCTTCATCTAGCTCCATTATATAAAGATTCTATTCGCCTTTCAAATAATTTCCGTTCACTCTCATAATTAACCCTTACATTTCTTTTCAAACTCTTTATTCTTCTCATAAGCTCTAGTGATTTGCAATTTTTCCATATTTATATATTATTTTGGTCCATCATCCCTAGCTTATCTCCATGGTTTATCATTTGCTTCACTTCT